TTGATCAAAAAAATCGTTTAGAGCAACTCAATTGTTGACTTCCTCCACTGTCAAATTTGACACTAAAGTATTGTCAAATGTCAGAACTGTCAAATGTCAAAACTGTCAAATTTCAAAACTATTGATCAAAAAAATCGTTTAGGACAACTCAATTGTTGACTTCCTCCACTGTCAAATTTGACACTAAAGTAGTGTCAAATGTCAAATTACCTTTAGCGTTTCCGCTAGGAAGAAACTCTGCTGCACATCATCCTTTTGTGGATCATCCGAATAGACATTTTTCAAGCCAGTATAGCCCCCAGGTACACGACAATACTTCTCTAAGGCTTGCACCGCCTCCCACCCCCAATCCCTATACTTCTGATCCTTAGTCAACCTCCACATATAAAAATACGATTCGATAACTTCCGGTCTAAGTATATAATATTTTTCGGAATTTTTCAACGCCCTCGCTTCAGCACCTTCAGTAAAACGGAACGCTTCCGGTCCCAATTTCGTATTACTCCTATCGTATGACTCATGACATGTATGCGTTATTTTTTTTGCAACTTCCATATATCGATTTGACATGTCGTTTTTGAGCGTTTTAGCACCGAGGGCAAGAAGACCACCCGAAAAACAGCCCAAATGGTCCATTTTGTGTTCGGGACGGTCGAATTTCAATTCGGCGAAATACATGAGACCAGAGGGGGAGGTAAAAAGCATATGTTGGAGGACGGCTTGCATGGCATCGTCGAACATTTGGCGTGCTTCGTTGTCTTCCTTATTGGATTGGAGCCAAGCTTTGAGGAGGTATTCGAAGAAGCTGTCGCCGAGGGCCCCCATTGACATGTGGTCTATAAAAATTAAGTCAAATTAAATTAATATATATTAAAAAAAAAAAAAAGTTGGAATAATCGTAATTTGAAAATTAGTACATAGCCATAATGCATTAAGTCCTCTTAAATGAAAATATTTTCAAGATGGCGGCTTATACCGGAAGTCGGTCTCAACTTTATTATTTTAAATGGAAAGGTGTATTTTTTACTGCGTTTTTGGATTAATCCGGTTATTTTAAGGGAGTTTTCATTAGCTTTCCCTATACCTAAATTTAGGCGTTTTTGAAATATTTGGAGTTTTTCAAAAATTTTTGGATCTGCACCTTGCACTTTAAAATTCGGTAACTGTGCTGTTTTTTAAAATTTTTAATTAGTTTTTTGGCGTTTGAAAGAAAAACTTTAGGTCTTTTTTCCGGTGTTTTCAAATTTTGAAAAAAAAATTACAAACCATAAAATTTACTTTCGTAATAATTCAAATACCCATAACTCAATTTTTCCAAATGAAATAACTTAAAAATTATTAAATTTACGTATAGGGAATGTTAATACAGATCAATGCACAATTATATTCTCTTCCATTTAATTAAATAAAAATTGGGGTGTTTCATTTGGAAAAATTGAGTTATGGGTATTTGAATTATTACAAAAGTAACCTTAAAATTTTGGGACATGTTATGTTTTTTTCAAAATTTGAAAACACCAGAAAAAGGATCTAAACTTTCTCTTTCAAACGCCAAACAAACGAATTCAAAATCTTAAAAAATGGCAGAGTTACCGATTTTTAAAGTGGAAGGTGCAGATCCAAAATTTTTTGAAAAACTCCAAATATTTCAAAAACGCCTCAATTTAGGTATAGGGAAAGCTGATGAAAACTCCCTCAAAATAACCCGATTAATCCAAAAGCGCAGTAAAAAATATAGCTTTCCATTTAAAATAAGAAAGTTGAGACCGACTTCCGGTATAAGCGGAAGTGCCTCCATCTTGAAAATATTTTCATTTAGGAGGACTTAATGGTTTATGGCTATGCACCAATTTTCAAATAAATACGATTATTCCAACTCCCAATACATCTAATGTGGGGTTTAGACGGAACACCCTGTATAAAATAAAAAAATAAAATAAAAAAAAATTAAATAAAATTAATATAAGTCAAAATTTTATGACTCGGCTTCGCCTTGACACTTACGTTGACCCCATTTGCCCGTCTTCGGATTGAGATAATTGGGGTAAAGACCGTTTGGTTTCTCTAAACTTTGGAGGAATTGACGGATGTGATCGACTTTGTTGCGATAGATTGGTTGACCGGTGATGTCACTCAAGTAGGCGAATTCCAAGTGAAGAGTGCCGAATTCGGATAAAATACTGGAACCGCCACTTGCCCAACCGAAATTTTTACTAGCCTAGAAAAAAAAAAAATTTCATGACCGATTAAGGAAACAAATTTAATTTGTGGGCAAAAAATTCAAAATTTTCAATTTTTATCGCCAATTAAGGACACAAATTATAATAATTTTCTCAGAAGTTAAAAATTAATTAATAGTTTAGATTTTTCATGGCCAATTGAGGAAACAAATTTTCAATATTATTTATTTTAGGATTTTTTTTTAGGATTATAACAAAAATTAATAGATTTTTTTTTTCCATGAAATGTCAAAAAACATGGTTTTTAATTTGATTTTTCTGTGCCAACTAATAAAATATAATAATTTGCTATATTTTAATTTCTAAAATTTAAATATCGTTACAAATGACAAAAACTTGAGATAAACTTTACATTGCCAATTAAGGAAACAAATTTCATTTTGTCCTTTTTTTCAGTCTCGGTTTATTTTTTTTCTCAGATTTTGCCAAACACAAAACTTAGAGTAAAACAATGTCATTTTTTTTCACTACCGAAGCAACAATTTTTGTTAAAAGTCAAACAAAAGTCAACAAAAAGTAACATTTAATTTTTTTATTTCTGACTAGAGAAACAACTAGAAAAACAAAGTCAGGTATTTTAATCTTAATTTTCATTGCCAACTGCTAATTTTTAACGCCAAATGAGAACACAAATTTTTACCACATCTTAAAACAATGACTAACAAACAAAATAAAAAACTATGTTTTCACAAATTTTAATATTCATAAAATGTAAATTCACAAAATAAAAATGTCAAAATATCAAATAAAAAACTTATTTTTTTTAGCCAATTAAGAAAAAAAATTCATCGCCGACTAAGTAACTGTTTTTTCTTATCAATTTTTTGCTTATTGAAGAAATTTTCTTATCCACACTTCGTATTAAATAGAAAAATAGAAACAATTTTTTCATGGCCAATTGCGAAAACAATTTTTTTAAATTAATAATCAAAACTTAAATTTTTTATAGGTGACTAAAAATTCAAACTGCAATTCTAATTAACTAAATTAGAGAAAAAAAATTCAATTTGTGAAAAAAAAACAAAGCCTACTAGACCAGACTAACCCACTTCACACGCAAAAAATTACAATTACATGAACCGTACCAAAGTTTCAATTAATTTTAATGAACGTTTATTAACCGTTTGTTATTTTCCGGTTAATTTCCTTAACAACATAGAATTTTAATTCAAATGTCCTCGCAACTAAAAACAGATAATAAACCAAAAAAAAAATAAATAAAAATTCAAATGCAAATTTTTTCATGTTAATTAAATTCTTTGTTTGTTTTAATTTAAAAACAATGAATTTCCTGAAATAACTGTAATTACAACGGTATTTTCAAATATAGTAAGACAGGACCGTACCCAAAATTTTTGAGCCCATTATTTTTTACTCACTCCTGTTTTTAAGTTGACAAATGCAAATTTTTTCATGTTAATTAAATTCTTTGTTTGTTTTAATTTAAAAACAATGAATTTCCTGAAATAACTGTAATTACAACGGTATTTTCAAATATAGTAAGACAGGACCGTACCCAAAATTTTTGGGCCCATTTTTTTTTTTTTACTTACTCCTGTTTTCAAGTTGACCAAAGCATGCGGAATGCCCGTTTGTGTCTGAAATGCCGGCAATAATTTATCGGCAATTTGCTGCGCTTTGTCTCGGAACATCACATCGCCTGTGAGAGCAAAACATGACAATAATCCACCCACGAATCGGATGTTGGACTCAAAAACGGACACATCGGCCGTCTGGAACACAAAAATAATTTTTTTTTCAAAAAAAAAAATTTCAAAATTTAAGAAAAAAAATTTTTTTTGATTTCTTTTTTCCTTACCATACTGTTCAAATCCAGCTCATTGGCGACCCAATCTCTCGCCTGTTTAAATTCGTCTTTCATTCCCATGATATACAGGGTGTCCAAACCATCTAAAATCGTCGCGGCGATGGGTAAAGTACCGAAAATGCTTGCACTATGTCCACGTTTACTTATCGGTTTTAGTTCATTTTTGCCCCAAGCATAACGAACGTAATTATCCCACGCGTGTTTCATCATCTGCAAGAGAAATTACGATCAAATTTCATCAATAACTACACAAACAAATGAGTAATCTAATACGATGTGAGTGGGAGGAAAAAAGATCGATTGGAAAATTTAATTTATTTAGGACGGAAATATGTATATCACGTGATTGTGGATGTTTGAGGAAGATTGTAGTAGGTGATGGAATATAACTGTCACAGAAATGTCAATGGAATATGTTGATAAGTAACGGAGTTATGACCGATTTAAAACATACATGGCGGAAACACTCGGTATTACTTTGAAAAAATCTAGAATCAAAACTTGAAAATAAAAAATTCTGATTTTTTTGCCAAAATTAGAGTAAATTTAATATATCCACAATTCTATAATATTTAGAAAAAGATTCTACAATAGTTGGTAATTAAAAAATAAAGAGAAAAAATCCCCAAGATTGTTAGATTCTAAGAAATACAAGATTTCTAATATATTACAAAAATATCTTAAACAATTTCTAAAATTATGCGAATTTCAGATTGTCTTAAAAAATTACTAAGATCAAAGAATATTCCAGGTTTCAAAATTCTAAGATTTCTTATTTTCAAGATTCTGAAATATTTTACGATACGCTAAAAATGCAAGATCTTAATATTTTCTAATTCTAAGTTTTCAAGACTGTTAGATTCTAGAATTATAGATTTCCAAACTTGTAGTAGATTCAAGAATTTGAGTTTCTAAGATTTTGGATCTTAAAAATAATTCTATTTCTAGGACAGCAAATTTCTGAAATTCTAAATATTTTTCATTAAAAAATAAAAACTCAAGGTCTCTTCAAGATTATTGCTTTCTAATTGTAAAAATTACAAAGATTTAATCGTATGAATTCTCAGATAGTTTCTAAGATTGCACAAATTTAAGATTTTCTAAGACTTTAGAAAATTGAAAAATGTGAAGATCAAAAAATATTTCAGGATTCAAAATTGTAAGATTTCGTATTTTCAAGATACTGAAATATTTTACAATTCTAAGATTTTAACGCTAACAAAGCAAGATCTTGATATTTTTAATAGATTCAAAAATTTGAGTTTCTAAGATTTCTAAGATTTTGGATCTTAAAAGTAATTCTATAAATTCCTAAGACCGCAAACTTTTGAAATTCTAAATATTTCTCATTAAAAAATAAAAACTTATCTTTAAGATTGTTAGATTCTAACTCTAAAAATTAAGAAGATTTGATTCTATGAATCCTTCGACAGTTTCTAAGATTTTGCAAATTTAAGATTTTCTACGACTTTAGTATTTCAGATTCTTGAAAAATATTCTACGTTTTTAGTTTGTAAGATTCTGTGAAGATTCTAAAATATTATTAATTCAACGCTAAGTTTCTAAAATTGTTATTAAAATAATGTTTATTTAAAAAATATTCAAAGAATCCAAAATCTTGAGATTTTGAGATTCTAAATCATCAACATTGTTAGATTTCAAAATTTTAGATCTCCAAACTTCTAACATTTCTAATAGATTCAAGAATTTGAGTTTCTAAGATTCTGAACCTTAAAAATAATTCTTCGAATTTTTAGGATAACAAATGTCTGAAATTCTAAATCAAAAATTATGCATCTTCTAAATCTACATTTTGTTTTTTTAGGAAATATAAAGTCAATAAAATATTTTAGGGTTAAAAAACAATATCTTCAAATTTTTGTTTTCAAGATTGTTAGATTCTAAAATTAATCTGAACTTCTAAAACATTCAAGAATTTGAGTTTCTAAGATTTTGTGTCTATTCTATAATTCTGTCTATTCTGTTTCTAAGATTCTGAACATTAAAAAAATAATTCTTCGAATTCTTAGAACAACAAATGTCTGAAATTCTAAATCAATTTTTCTTCTAAATCTACATTTTGTTTCTTTGGAAAATATAAAAATCCATAATTTCTAATAAAATGAGGGTTTAACGTTTTGGCCTTCAAAAATAATTTACGAATTCTAAGACAATAAATTACTAAAAAATTAATTAAAAAATACAGAGATTATAGTGCAAATATCAAGATTTTGAGTTTTTTCAAGATTAAAAAATCCATAAATTCTGTTGTTCAGGATTTGAGATTGTAAAATTTCGTATTTCGAAGATTCCGTAAAAGACTAAAATTTTGACAGCTCAATATTTCAACAGCAAGATTCTAAAAAAGTTTAAAAAAGATAAATCAAGAAACACAAATCTAAATCCTCAATCCTCAAAATTGATAGACTTTTTCAACATTGTTAGACTTTTTCAAGATCTTCAATATTCCAACACCAACACTTTGATTCTATAAAGATCCAAAATTTCTAAAAAAAAATAAAGAACAAATTTCTGAAATTTTGCTAAGAATATAGAATTTCACATCTTCATTTTCTAATATAAATATCAAAACTTTTAAAGATTCTAGATTTCATAACTTAGATTTCGTATATTTCCCAAGATGTCAATATTTACAAGATTCTAAACGTCAATAAAATATTTTTAAGTTAAATTTTTGGATTCTAAACCCTCATGATTCTAAAATTTAAAAATATTAGTTTTATGAAACTCTGTGAAACCATATTTTCAGGTTAGATTCTAACGTTTTAAAGACTCTGAAACTGGAGAATATCAAAATTCTAAATAAATAAATTCTAAAGAAATTGAAATCTCAAACTTCAAAATTCTAGAATTTCCATACCTTTACTGGATTCTAGATGTTAAAAATTTTGATTTTAATTAGTTTTAACTAATTAATTAATTTTAATCAAAACTAGTCCAATAAACAGGAAACACTCTTAAATAGCAAAATCTTTATCAAAATAGAAACTGAATCATCAAAACTTTGAACCTCATTAGCCTCAAAAACGATAAAACTTATCAAAAATCACCCCTTTTTTTCATTACCTCCTTTACTTTCTCCTTCCTTAACCCATTATCCCTTGTCAAACTTAAATTTTTCTCTAGTGTAAAAATCTCAACTATTGGTTTTTGTCCACTGAAAGTCATCGTCACATTTTTCACCCCGATTTCATTATTCGAATTTTGATGTCTACTAAAATACACCCCTGTCCAAGCCACCACCAAAATCGCTGAAGTAACACCAGCTGTTGCAGCTTTTGTTGGTACCACAACCATTTTTTTTTTGTTACTAACACCACCAGAAACTGAACTGAACTGACCTCAAGTGGTGTGATGCGTTTACATTTACAAATAAATATGTCTTGATAAGTGTTATCACTATTGTGAAAGAACGAATCGAGAGGAAATAGGATGGATGAACATCGCGTGGTTCCGTTAGAAACCAATCGTTTTTGAAATTGAATTTTTTTTTTGAAAAAAGTGGGGAAAATGGTTATAAATAGGTGGCACACGACATACAACTGGTGCAGAATTGAGTGATAAAGACTCCTACGGGTCAATTAAATGTAATCAAACACGAGGATAAGTGGGTTTGAGGTTAGAAGATAGAGACCATTTTTTTTAATCAAATTTTTCAAGATTCAAGCTTCAAGATCTTGAAATTTTTGAATTTACAAATTTCTAAATTCCAAAATCTTGATCTTATTTTTATATTCAGCAAAAAAGATAATTCTAAAAATCAAAAATTTTGAAATTTTTGAAAATTCGTAATTTTGAACCTTCAAGACGTAAGATTTCTCTAGAGTACAATAATTTACTTAATCTACAAGCTTTCTAAATATGTTTCAAGCATTCAAAAATTAAAAGGTTTCTAAATTCCAGAATTAAAAATCTTGATATCTCTAAAACTGCAAAATTCTAATTCTTTAGTTTCAGGATCTTTACCTTTTAATATCTACCTTCTGTTTTCCAGAGATAGTTTACAATTCTAAGATTTCAAAATCAAAATTATTTAAATTATTACACAGGTTTTTAATTACAGACGTAAAAGATGATTCTAAGAATATAAATTTTGAATTTCTAAAATTTTACCGATCTTTAAAAGATGCAAAATCTGAAGACTTTAAAACACTGAGTTTCTAGATATCAGAAAAATAATTGCTATATCACAGTACCTAAAAATTATTTTGAGGAATTTGAGGAATCAAGATTTCGAAATTCTAAGTCTTCAAAATGAGCATAATTTATTAAAGCTTTAGAAATTCTGTGATTCTAGAAATCCAAGATTCTCGTGTTTTAAGTTTTAATACAAATTTTGAATTTCTAAAATTTCATAGATATTTTTTAAATTTAATAAAATTTGGATCAAAACCAAGAAATTCTAAAATTTCTAAATCACACGACCGCAGAATCCTAAAAATTAAAGTTTTTGATTAATCGAGATTAGAAATTCTAAGAATTTAATTCTAAGAATCCAAGATACTCGTGTTCGAAGTTCTTACATTTCTAGAATTAGATAATTTTGGATTTTCTAGTTCTTATTATTTTCTATAACCAAAATTTTCAAGATTTTTAGATTCTAATATCTGTCTATCATCTTTCACAGATATACAAATATAAGATTTCGAATTCAAAATTATTTTATTATTAAAAAATGGTTCTAAAAATATAAACTTTGAGTTTATAAATATTTTATAGATCTTCAAAATTTGCAAGATTTTAAAAAACACCTTATTTCGAGGTTTTAGGTATAAAAATTTAGAAATTCTAGATTTATAAATCATCGACCAGATAATCGCAAAAATTAAAGACTGTTAAGTAATCAAGATTTCTAAATTCTAAATCTTTAAAATTGGGACAATTTCTATATTCCGTGATGTTAATATAATATTTCAAGATTCCAAAACTTAATTAGATTCTTAGAAGCGTTAGAAATCCATTGATTCTAGAAATCTAAGATTATCTTGTTGTAAGTTCCTATAAGTATTTCTAAAATTGACAATTTTAGATTTTCAATATTTAAGATCTTAATAATAAATTCTTATTCTTTAGATTCAAATATCAATCTACTATCTTTCAAAAGACAATTTCAATTCTATTTATAGATCTTCAAAATTTTAGAATCCTAAATTTAAAGTCTTTGAGTGATCAAGATTTCAAAATTCTAA